TGCAGTTACAGGGGAACCTTTTAAACCTTGGAAGTGCAGTAGCCCCTTCAGCTTCCCTACCCCCACCCCACCCCTATAAGGAGTTCAGGTTAAGGATTTGGTTTACAATGAATGGTGCATGACCCTTTGAGTTAGTTCTTTATACACAGGAAATTGATACTTCCCCTTCTTGTGCTCTCTCCGTATACAGTGGAACCTAGGTGAGAAGGCCGCAGATGACACACATGCACACATAAAAGTCTATTTTGAAAGATCGGGGTTGGGAACTCATGTTATGTTATATCCCTTTTAAAAAAAATTGAACACGTCCGTGCAAATTTTGTGCATTGATGTCATTATGTTACGTATTGATGTCTCAAGGAGTTCGTATGTTTTGAATTATCTTCCTATTCTGTATAGTTTTGGCCATATGGGATTCAGAGTTTGCTAACAGTGGTATCAATTTTTATTTCTATATGCATTTCCATTTCGTGCCCTATTAATACAGAATTTTTCTTGCTGTCATCCTCCCTGAAATATGTACAATGATGGAATTTTCTTTCGTTGAAAGGTTGTAAAGAAAAATATTAGTTTTCATTTGAGTAATATAAAGCTTCTATAATGCAATAGTAGGAAGNTCGTAAAGGAAAATATTAGTTTTCGTTTGAGTAATATAAAGCTTCTATAATGCAATAGTAGGAAGATATGAAAATTTTGAAAGGACCATCATGCTAAGGTAACTCTGTTCGTAGAGGACCGTGTAAACGAAAAGCTAAGATTGTTGCAGGTCATTACAAGTGGTCACTTTCTTACATTGACAGGTTATATAAATTCATCGATAGGGGGCTTTTCTTATATAAAGTTTTCAAGCCACTTTATGCGATAGTTTTCATATATTATAATGTGGCTTTGGTGCTTATTTTACTTTGTTGGCGAATTATTGCATCTAATTTTGATTAATTGGGTACTTGTGTTAACATTCAAGGAAATAATAACTGTAAATGGATGCTAAGCTTCATATACTGTTAATAAGATGTGTTTCCACTGCCCAAAAGGTACACTTTCTCCAAGTAGTGGTGTAGTGGACTTTATCATGCCCATTTATGCGTTTTCTTGCGAGTTTCTGGGTACCTATGCACTTGAATGCCATCATTGAGTTATTCGTAACTTGAATTTTATGTTGCCAGTCTCTTAGATCCAGGAAATGGCAAAGTTGACATTTATTCCTCTAAATTTTGATAATAGAACTTGCCTCTCTCTTTCTCTCCAACTGCTCCCTCAACAAATCACTCTCTCTCTCTCTCTAACTGCTGTCTGATTGATCAGGAGACTCATTATATCTATTATTTGATGTCAATCTTCTACCAATAGGTTTTGTGTTGAAGGTATAATGTGAATTCGTGATTTGTCTCTCATGAATTGCTCTTCGGTGTCTGTAGGACTCTCATATTAAGATGGATGCCAATGTGCCCCACATGATTTTCACTACTGGTGCACACGAGTTCAGAATAGGTCCTCAATTGTCTATGACATTATTCACAAATCCAATGTTCATTGCATCCCAGTTCTTTGTTTTTTAATTAGTGTGTGTATTCTCAAGACTCTGTTGAAAATATATATCTCATGCGTTTGAGCTGAATCTCAACTCTTAAAGGTTTAACTGCTCTATCCTGCTTCCATTTTAATTAAAACCAACTTTTTTGGGAATCCTAAATAAAGTGGGAGAGATGTTACCATATTGGGCAATCGTTTTATTGTTACCTGTTGTGATTGTGCCTAAAACTCATGTACGTGTATGCTTGTCTGGGTGGTGTTGTGTAACTTAAAGTACTTCGACTTTGCATTGAAGCCATGTGTTCTAGCTTCAAATAAGGATGAGAGCCTAGTCTGCTATGGCCAGTGATCCTTGAGATTGTGAAAGTATGACTTTCAATTTCTTAAATTATCATCTCCATCTTCTTGATTCAACATCTCTTTCCAGGTTAAGNTACTATGGCCAGTGGTCCTTGAGATTGTGAAAGTATGACTTTCAATTTCTTAAATTATCATCTCTATCTTCTTGATTCAACATCTCTTTCCAGGTTAACGAGGCAATTGAATTGGCACCAGAAAAGATTTTGACAAGCATTAACCAGTGAGGATCTATATTCTGGGCCATTTATGATTTTCTTATTTTGTGAGGAGGTGGTCTTGTTAGATCATCATTACCAATTACTACCCCAAACTGACGCATCCTTGCACTTCTTTGTCAGGAATCCGGAGAGAGCGATAAATACTTCAGAACCAAGGATCTTAAAGCTACAGTTTCCAAACAAAGTCGGTCTTCCAGTCTTTACAGGGGAGGAGATCAAAGGAGAAGGGGGTAACTCTATTACAATAGAATTAATCGACGATTTAACTGGGCAAGTTGTTAACTCGGGACCTGAAGCTTTTTCAAAGGTGGAAATAGTACCTCTTATGGGAGATTTTGATGGTGATGAAAGAGACAATTGGACACATGAAGAGTTTAATGATAAGATTTTCAGGGAAAATGAAGGAAAAAACTCTCTTCTTGTTGGAAGTGTAGACCTCAAACTACATGAAGGCATTGGTCGTGTAGGTGCTATTAAGTTCAAACATGGTGCACACTGGATGAAAACACAGAAGTTCAGGCTGGGGGCAAGGGTTGTAGATAGGGTTACTGGGACTAGAGTTAAAGAGGCAAAGACAGAGTCCTTCTTAATCAAGGATCGCCGAAATAAACGTAAGCATTTCTAACATTATGTTATTTTGCTTCTCCACCTTTTTCAAGGTTGCACAATTATAATAAGATATTGGGCATGTAAGTAAATTATTATGACACTCGAAAAATTATTGATGTCTAAGCTCAAAAAAAAATTAACTTTATTAAAAGTTGGGAATCTGAAGTTAATACTGTGGTGGTGAAAACTGTTGGAGAAAGGTAGATGTGGAAGTGTAGAAGTCTTAGATATAGGTCTTATCCAATCCCCAGCATGTATCGCTCTGTTTGTATCTTTGTTGCAAGGTTAGATTCAAATTTAAGGTGCAATACCCAAAGAAGGTCTATTTGTAGCATCATGAGCTATACAATCATCCTACAGCAGCTGAACATCGATAAGATCTAGCAGTTTTTACTAAAGGCCTAAAAATTTCACACAACAGTGTGAGCTTTTGGAAGATAGTAATCAAATATATCCTTTCCTCACTGATTGCTTTGACATTTCTATTCACTGCTTTGGGTCCTCCCATGATTAGTATTTTACAGTTTTGGCGTTATTTTCTAGCATCAATTAATTGTAGTGGTAGTGACGGTTTGGTAGTGGGAGAAGTCTTGCAATTCCATGAGCTAGATGGGTAACTTAACCCATGGTGGTACCTGAGAGTGAAGCTATCTCATTTAAACACCACAGGGAACTGTTGAGAAACAGTGAATCAAATTATGNCTTTTTTTTTTTTCATCAATTAATTGTAGTGGGAGTGATGGTTGGGTAGTGGGAGAAGTCTTGCAATTCCATGAGGAAGATGGGTAACTTAACCCATGGTGGTACCTGAGAGTGAAGCTATCTCATTTAAACACCATAGGGAACTGTTAAGAAACAGTGAATCAAATTATGGAATTATTGATGTAAATAGTCTCTTTATTGCAAATAAAATGCTGGGACATGGGTGTTTTTATGGCAGTTAGAATACCCCGATGGAAAGAACAAAGGGGATTGTACAAGACACAAGTCCATTGGACTAATCTGAGGCTTCTGTTTTAGTGCTTCTATGACAGAATGGTTGTGTGTTGGCTCTTCTCATTTTAACTCTATTATGGACATAGATTACTTGTGTGTGAACCTTGAAGCTCTTATATGAAAATGATTGTTTTGCTAGGTTCTCTAACTGTATTTGGCGTGGTGTACATTGGCATTTTATGATTCAAATGGCATTTATTTGGACTATCGTGATTCAGAAACAAGTTACAACATTAATTAGATCATTGTTTGGAGGATGGCAAGCGGTATTTCTAAATGGTGATGCACACATAAGTTTGAAAATTTCAAAATATTTAGAAGTGGTTTGCATAAATGTGATTATGCAACTATAACTTTGAGGAGCTAGGAATGATGTTGGAGAATTTTTAGATGCTCTCTTTCCTACTCCAGCTTGTAAACGGAAATTTTTAGCTGTTAATCAAACATTAGAACCATGGTAGTGACCCAGAGTATGATGTGGTGTTAAGAAAGGTGATTCACTGTATTTTTGCCTGACATATCAAGTATTGGTTGAATGTTGGTGACTTTTATACATTTTGGTGGAAAGAAGAATAGACGTCCATTTTGTTCTTGGTCATTATTTTCCCTTCTCCACTTATATACTAGTATATTGTACAATTGAATTCATATGCCCCCTTTTTTTCCTGGTTTTTCTGTGTTACACTTTGATCTCATTCTGACGTCTTATTCTTGTCTTACGGAATCATGTAACTAGCTTGTGAAACTAAAAGAGGGAAAGTAAAGATAAAGTGGTATCTCGGAGATTTTGAACTATTATCATGATAGTATGATTGTTGTAGATTTCACATTTATTTACTGCAAATTTTTTTGCAGTGTACAAGAAGCACCACCCCCCATCTCTTCTGGGTGAAGTGTGGCAGCTAGAAAAAATTGGCAGATATGGAGCTTTTCACAAGCGGTTGATTGAAGAAAAAGTCTACACAGTGAANTTTTTGCAGTGTACAAGAAGCCCCACTCCCCATCTCTTCTGGGTGAAGTGTGGCAGCTAGAAAAAATTGGCAGATATGGAGCTTTTCACAAGCGGTTGATTGAAGAAAAAGTCTACACAGTGAAGGATTTTTTGACTCTACTGTTCCTAGACCCTACAAGGCTTCGAAATGTAAGAATTTACTGCTCCTTGTATTTTTGCCACATGGATCAGTAACATTCGAGCCTACAAGGCACCATCATCTTGTAAACAATTCTGTTTGGAAAAAGGCTTCAAGGGTAGAATTTGTAACAAGAATTTCATAGAATGATGATGTAGTGACCTTTTGTTATGTCATGACATTAATGGTTCTATATTTGAAATGAAAGGAACCTAGCGAGCCATTGATATATAGAAATTCTATATATTGAAGTGATGATAACGCATATATGTGTGAAGCAGGCTGCGGTTTGAGAAGGGCTATCTTCTGACACAAATAACTACCTCCTCTTTGTGAATGACATGAAAAAGGCAATATTGCTCTTTGTTGCTTAGAATGATATCCAACTCCAAAAGAAGTATTTCATATTTGCATTCCGAGACTAGGACATTTTGCATAGCTGCCTTACAATCTGTGTGAATCAGATGACTTGACAATTTGTTCATGCTAAAATGTGTATCTGGACAACCTATATTTAAGGATTTTAAGGTTGCTGTGTTGGACTCCTTGTATCCATGTCCTTATCCTTGGCCACAGGGTTTGGATCACAACGAGCCTCCTCCCTGTTGAAGGGAGGAGGGGTGGGTTGAGGGTTGAGGGTTGAAATTAGAGGATTAAAATAAATAAATTCCGGCCTCTGTTTATACAGGACATAAATGTTTCTCTGACCTGTAACTTTTGGTGCTCATTAGCCTTCCTTTCATGTTTTAGCAATAACAGTTTTCTTCTTTGAATTTCTCAATAACTATTTTAGAGTACAAGTCAGTAACAATTCGTTTCTTGGAACTTCTGCAGATCCTTGGGACAGGTATGTCTGCTAAAATGTGGAAAGTTACAGTGGACCATGCTCGGACATGCGAAATTGATACGAGGTGCTACTTGTACTGTCCTTCCGGATCTCAACACAAGGCTGGGGTAGTTTTCAATGCTGTGGGGCAGTTGATGGGAATACTTTCAGATTGCCAATATATTGCCACTGATAAGCTATCTGAAACGGAAAAGGCATGTTCCGCCTGTCGCAAAATTGTTATGTTTCTTTTTTGCTGTTACTTTTTGTTCCTTTCACTTCTGCTCTTTTCTTTGTTTTTTTTTTTGGAAGAAAATAATCCCTAACTTCCGTATAACTGGCATTGTTTTCAGGCTGACGCCCACAACTCGGTAATTTCTGCGTTTAGAAACTTCGAGGATGTAGTCTCTTTTGATGATGAGGCCTCTCTTACGGATGGCCTTTTGCCCATGTCCAATGGTCTTTACCCCTCAAACTCAGCCATCCCAGGGAGTTCTGATGGCAATAAGGATTTGGCATCCGAAAAAGTGGGCAAATCTGATTGTATGCAGCTAAGTGCCTCTTCCCCAGACATCATGCCATCCATCTATTCCATTGGGGGTGTTAGCTTGGATGATTATGGGTTGCAAAGCATTGACTCCATGGATGTTATGTTCGACCA